CCAAGAGAGCCCCAAGACGGCCCAAGAGGGCCCCAAGACAGCCGCAGAGTCCCAGGACGGCCCACGAGGTGCCCAAGATGACCCCACGAGGCTCGCAACAGAGCCCCAAGAGTGCCATAGGAGAAGGCCCAAGAGGGCCTAAGGGGGCCCCAAACGGCCCAAGAGGGCCCAAGGACGGCCTGGAGAAGCCAATGCGTATACTTTCGCGAGCTGTTTGCTGGATGTTTGCGTTGTGATTTTGCAAACTCCCAACACTAAGGCTCCTTTGAAAGGACGGTGGTGGAGGTTTCGGGCCCAAAGACGGCCCAATGACAGACGCAACGTTGACGCCAAGGCTCTCGCCAACGGACGGCCCAATGACGGACACAGCTTTTACGCCAAGGCTCCCGAGAGCTCTAGGTGACTGGAAACAATCTTTCACACGGGTCGGTGACGTACACAACCTTGAACGCCAAGGCTACGAAGAATGAACAGTGGCGCGGAAAGCTCTTAACGGTAAGGCTGTAAGGCTCCCTAGAGCGAACGGCGACGTCAGCAGCTCTTAACGGCAAGGCTCAAAACAGCGAACGGGGGCATTAACAACTCGTGACGCCAAGGCTCCAAAGAGGAAGCAGTGGCAAAAGCAACTCTCAACGCCAAGGCACCCGATAACAAAGCGTGACGTACAGAGCTTTCAACGCCAAGGCTCTCAAGAGAGAACGGTGCCATGAACTCTCTGGGGCCAAAATCCTGACTTTCCGTTCCCCTGCCGGCCCAAGTAACGGAAAGAGCGAGGTACGAGTGATGACGTTCTGGTGTGGGCGAAGCCCTAAAGGGAGGGGTTCCATGGGGAGGGGCGAAGCGTGTGGAGATGGGCGTTAATGGCCTTTTTCGGGTTGTCCCTCGGGTTTTTGCATGTTTTTCGGGTTCTCCCCCAAGACGGCCCAAGAGCGCTCCAAGAGAGCCCAAGACCGCCCAAGACGGCCCAAGAGGCCCCCAAGAGGCCCCCAAGAGGCCCCCAAGAGGGCGCCAAAACGGCCCAAGAGGGCGCCAAGACGGCCCAAGAGGCGCCAAAGACGGCCCAAGAGGGCCCCAAGAGGGGGACCGCGAACCGACAAGTCTAGCCTTTCGCCCCAAGAAGCTCCCAGGAGGCCCCCAGAGCCCCCCAAGAAGCCCCAAGAGGCCCCCAAGAGGTTCCCAAGAGGCCTCCAAAAGGGCCCGACAAGGGCCCCAATAGGACTCCCAAGAAGGCCCAGAGACGCCAAATAGAGAGCGATCGGTAACGCAAAAAGCTCTTCACACCAAGGCTCCCAAGAGCGAACGGTGACGTAAAAAAGCTGATAAGACCAAGGCTCCCAGCAGAGAGCGGTGACGTAACAAGTTCCTGACACCAAGGCCCAGCCAAGGCTCAGGAACGGGCGGCAACGCAACAATCTCTGAACACCAAGGCTCCCAAGAGCGAGGGGTGACGTAACAAGCTCTCAACGCCAAGGCTCCCAGTACGAACGGTGGTGTGAGTAATTTCGGTTTCTGTTTCTGAAGCGCTCTTTCCGTTTCTGTGCTGGGCCAGGTAATGTATGTATACTCGAATCTGGTCTAATCGCCACGTGGAGGACAGAAATGAAGTCCGGTATCCAGTGCTGGTGCGAGCATGACAGACTGCAATGGCCTCTTGACACGCATAGGCGCGGTAACGGCTAAGCCACATGACACATACGCACGTCTGGAGGCCCGTGGTGTGTGCGCAAGTGTGCGTGTGTGTGTGTGTGTGTGTGTGTGTGTGTGTGTGTGTGTGTGTGTGTGTGTGTGTGTGTGTGTGTGTGTGTGTGTGTGTGTGTGTGTGCGTGCGTGCGTGCGTGCGTGCGTGCGTGCGTGCGTGCGTGCGTGCGTGCGTGCGTGCGTGCGTGCGTGCGAGTGTGCGTGTTGGTGTGCGGATCCCTGCGCCATCTGCTGCAGGGCCAGCCGCGCGCGTTCTCTAGCTGCTCGGGTGACATGCTCCGCCTCGTCGCTACGCGCGACGCCGCGACTGCCGAAGAAGTGTGTGTGTGTGTGTGTGTGTGTGCAAGGTCTTCGGCACCGCCTGCACTCCCGCACCCTCCGGCCGCCTGAGGCCCCGCCCGCCCGCGCCCTGTCTCCCCAATTAAGGCTACCCGCGCCCCGCCTAGCTCTTGACCGGAAGGGGCCCGCTCCCGACCCGCCGACCAAAAAAGTGTGTGCGTGCAAGAGGGGCGGCCACAACACAAACGCATTCCAGGTGGAGCGACCGGCGAACGCGCTGAGCGCGTGGGAGTGAGTGATTGAACTTTGGAGGCCGTCGGACCCACTGGACGGCAAACACAACTTTGACGCTGAGGCCGCCTCTCCAGACCTCCTTCTCCTCGTCCTCCTCCTCCTCCTCCTCCTCCTCCTCCTCTTTCTCCTCCTTCTCTTCCCTCTGCCTCCCTGCTCCCCCCCAATCCTCCTCCCTCTAATTCTTTCTCTTGCTCCTCCTCCTCCATCCACCTCTTTTTACCTCCTCCTCCTCCTCCTTCTCCTCCTCCTTCTCCTCCTCCTCCTCCTCCTTCTCGCTCTGCCTCTGTTTCTTGCTCCTCCTCCTCCTCCTCCTCCCTCCAACTCCTTTTCTTGCTGCTCCTCCCTCTTCCTCCTCCTCCTCCTCCTCTCCCTCCTCCTCCTCCTCCTCCTCCTCCTCGTTCTCCATTCCTTCTCCTCATAGATAACTCCTCCCTGTCGCACCCCGAGGCCGGTTTTTAGGGCGGGCCGGGCGTCTCGCCTGAGACTTCCTCACCATGTATGACTCTGAAGCTTAAAAAGTGGCAACGGTTTCACAGATGGAGGGCGGGTGGTTTTCAAAATGTGGCTCTCGCCTCAGCGCCGCGCACATTCGCTTTAAACTGATTCAAGAGTTTCACGGATTGAAGGCGGGTCGTTTTCAAAATGGGACTCTCGCCGTAGCGCCGCGCACATTCGTTAAACAAGAATTGCAAGCGTTTCGCGGATTGAGGGCGTTTCCTTTTCAAAATGTGGCTCTCGCCTTAGCGCCGCACGCACTCGTTTTTTAAATGTGCAACAGTTTCACGGATTGAGGGCGCGTGGTTTTCAAAAGTGGCTCTCGCCTCAGCGCCACGCACATTCGTTTTAAACGGATTGAGGGCGGGTGGTTTTCAACATGTGGCTCTCGCCTTAGCGCCGCGCACATTCGTTTTAAACATTTCTAAGAGTTTCACGGATTGAGGGCGGGTGGTTTTCAAAACGTGGCTCTCGCCTTAGCGCCGCGCACATTCGTTATCAAAAAAAGAGTTTCACGGATGTTCAGCGGTTCCTTTTCAACATGTGACTCTCGCCTTAGCACCGCGCACATTCGTCTTTTAAATCTGCAAGAGTTTCAGGGATTCCCATGATCAGCGTACCAGGAATGGTGTTTTGGAAGGACTCAGGATTATGCGGGCGCAACAATTATGTTGATTCGCTGTGCTGAAATCCCCCAAATGGCGTTCTGGCACGACTCTGGATCGTCAAGACGCAGCAGTCAGGTTGATACGTGGCGTTGAAATCCCGAGAATAATGTTTTGGCACGTTTCAGGATCTTCAAACTGTTGTCTTCCAACGATGCAGTTCCCTCAATGGAAATGAACCGTTGTAGGGGCCTATGAAGAGGGAGCTTGGAGGGAGGGTCAATTCCAACATCGTTGATGACTCTTGGGTTTCCACTGGTCCTCCCTCTCCTCCTCCTCCTCCTCTTCCTCCTCCTTTTCCCGCATGTCCATCCTCCCCCTTGTTCAAATCCTCCTCTTTGTTTTCATTCCCCTCTTCCTGATCCTCGTCCTTCTCCTCCTCCGCTTTGTCCTCCTCCTCGTCCTCCTCCTCCTCCTCCTCCTCCTCCTCCTCCTCCTCCTCCCTCTTCCTCCCCGGATCCCCTCGAGTCTTGAAGGCGTGGATGAAGGCCAGAACAGGCGCCCCGGGAACGGGGGCTGCAGAACCACTCCCACTCAACCAACGCCTGGTCTTGTCGCCCGCTGGAGGGCTGATGCTCCACACACACACACACACACACGCGTCATCCTCGTCATCCTCCACATCCTTCGCCTCCTCCTCCTCCTCCTCCTCCTCCTCTCCTCCTCCTCCTCCCTCCTCCTCTCCCTCCTCCTCCTTTCCTCCTCCTCCTCCTCCGCCTCCTCTTCCTCCCTCCACCTCCTCCTCCTCCTCCCTCCTCCTCCGCCTCCTCCTCATCCTCGTCCTCCTCCTCCGCCTCCGTCTCCGTCTCCTCCTCCTCCTCCTCATCCTCCTTCAGATCCTTCGCCTCCTCGCACCCTTGATGCGTCCTTCGAGGAGATCTCCGGAATTCCGGACCAAACACCCTGGAGGTCACCAGAGGCCTTCAGAGGCCTCCCAAGGTCAAGGAAGGGTTAGAAACGCCAGCAACGCAAACATACCCTCGATATTCGCAGCCCTGCTCGAAACAAGTGCAGATGGAATCTTCACCACTGCGTTTGACAGCATTGTGAGCTTCTGCGGCCATGCGGCGAAGCGAAGCTGCCGGCGGCCGCCCAGGCGCCCTCCGAAAATCCTTCTTGGAACCCATCGAGGGCCATGCCTGGCCGCGGCGGCACCTGCAGCCGCAGCACTGGCACTGGGCATTGGCGGCGGCGGCGGCCACAGAGGCATGCTGCGAGGGCATTGTCAGCAGTGGTGGTCCTCCTTTTCCTCCTCCTTCCCCTCCTGCTCCTGCTCCTCGTCTTTTCCTTCCCTTGCCTGCCCTACGGGTTCCTCCATGACGGTTGGCAGGTGGTCCCGCCATCACGCGGCCACGACCGCGGAGGGAGCGCCCGTCACGCCATGGCGCCCGGCGGGAGGCGGAGGGACGGAAGGCGCGAACAAATCTCCTGGTGTACATCGCCTGGGGCCGTGGGCGCGATTTGATGGGGGGACGATAAACGAGGGAGGGGGGAGGGGGGAAGGAAGGTGCCCTTTTCGGGCCCTCAAGGGCTCCTTCTCGGCAGTCCTCGCCGCCCCCCCCCATTTATTTCCCCACCGTTACGCGCCCCCCCAGGGCCACAGGGTGGCACACTTCCGGGAGAGACCTGCGAGCAACCGATGATGGCTCCAAGCGCACACAACACAATCGGCGTCAAGAACTACGCGCACTCGCCTCCACAACTGGCAATCACAGGCTGCAAACGACCGCCTTCGTAGCCATGCTCACCTGCCGAACTCTGACCGGCCGCGCCCCGCCAACCGCGTGCCGTCTTGCGACCACGTACCGTTGTTTGCATACAGCTCGTACATTGCAATGAAGCGTGCATCGGTAACACCATACTCCTCTAGCAGAGCTAGATACTCTGGCATTGCCATCACAGCGTCCAGCAAACGTCGTAGCCGGGGATGTTGCTGAAACATGTCGTAGCCACGGTAATGCTTGAGGACGACTCCGAAGCGGTGCAAGAAAACAGCGGAATGAACATCGGCGAGTGTGCAGGACGCACCAACGCAGAAGTCACTTTTGTCTTCCAAGACGGCAGCAAACTTGCTCAACGCTGCGCTGAGCGTCTTTGCAATCTCTTCATCCTTTGCAGGGTCCTGGTTCTTGAGCAGTGCCACCATAGGACCGGGCAGCGCGTTGGCCATCTTCATCGCAAGCCTCACCTTGCTGGCGTCTAGCGGATCAATTGGGACAAGTTTACGAGCCGTGCACGGTGACGTAGCGTCGAAGTACTCCGCGACGATCTCCGATTCACGGACAACATCACCAGTGTCCAGCAGCAGTGTAGGCACCTCTCCAGATGCATTGACCTCTCGTTTGAACCACTCCTTGTATCTGTGTAGATCATCCAAAGATTTACCACGAAATAACCCGAACACGTCACCTTTTGCGATTCCCCACTTGTCCATCAGGCCAAACTGATTTGTGGTTGGCATATTCTCTATCCTAACACCACTCGCTGGCCGGAGCTTCAGTGCGAACATGGCGCGCACCGCGTAAGGGCAACCCATGTTGGCATACAGGGTGGACTCGCACTCACACTCCGTCTTTTGTTTCACCGCGGTAGTTACCGCTCCTGCGGCACCTGCAACAAGTGTCAGGGCACGAGCCCTGCTCAGATGTCGCTGACCATCCAAAGTGTACGTGTCAGGCAACGGGCTGCGGCGGAGGCATGCCAAACCACCACGATATCGATACCACATTGTTCGCAAGGGTCCACCGCAGCTGTTTGCGAGTGACAGGAAACTCGGGAACATCGCGGTACTGCAGACTTGAGAAACTTGGTACGGATCCGAGCATCGAGACATGCTGTTGCTGATGCGAATGCTGACAATGATGGTGGTTATAATGGCATCAAAACCCCGAGGCCAGGCACCGACGATCATGAACGGGGTGGAGGATGGTAGGCAGGAGGGGAAATAAGGAGAACGACGGGGGGGAGCGCGGGAGGCGGAGCAGGACGACGAGGAGCAGCAGCAGGCGCAGGAGGGAAATCTGCAGAATCAGGAGGAGGAGGAGGAGGAGAAACTGGAGGATGAAGAGGGACGTTCTGCTCTCCCCTTCCTCCGCGTCCTCCTACCTTCCCCCCTCCGACGGGGCGGCCTGGGTCGCGGGGTAAAGACCGCGGCAGGAGAGCCTCCCGGCTGGGGGCCCCCCCTGCTGGCTCGGCCCTCTCGCTGCGAGCGGGACTGCATGCTGCACGGGCCGCGTGGGAGGGAGGGGGGAAAGGACGAGGAGAGGCGGGGCGGACGAGGAGGGGGGCAGGCACTGTGCGGGGGTAGGGGCAGGGCGGGGTGGGGCCCAGAGCGCGGGGGAGAAGAGGAGGAGGGTTGCGCCGAGCAGGGGGGGAGGGGGGGAAAGAGTGATGCGGGAACACGGCCCGCCCGTGGGCGCCTCGTGGACGTCACGTGCGCCGGCTGGGATTCCCGGGCCTGGGGACAAAAAAAGACGAGAAGGGGGAGGAGGAGGAGAAAGAGGAAGGATGGTGGGGAGGAGGAGTCGGACACACGCAAGAGTGACCCCAGGCAAGAGTGACCTTGGGTGCGCGGCTTTCGGGGGGCCGCGGGGGGGGCCAACCCCAAGCGCGCAAGACGCTACTATCGCATCGCGTTCGGCGACCGGGGGACCCCAGTGGGCCCGCACCGAAGGTCACTCGGTTGAAGGGCCACTCTTACGTGTAGTCGATGCTGCAAGGAGGAGGAGGAGGAGGAGGAGGAGGAGGAGGAGGGTCGATGCTTGAAACGATGCTCGGGACAGGGGTGCCCCGCGTCGCGTCCCCCGACCCTTCTCTCCGAGCGCGCTCCAGGGCGCCCGGCCGCGCGGCGCGCGGCCGACCCGCGTCCCCGCCCTCGCCAGCGGCGCCCTCGCCAGCGGTCGGCAGCCGCCTTCGCCGCCGCCCGCGAGCCGCCCAGCGGCCGCGTCAGCCCTTCGCCTGCAGCAGCCTGCCCAACGCCCGGAGGTCGCTGGGGATGACGACCACGATTTTCCGATCGATCTCGAGACGACAGTTTTTTTTTTTTTTGTTTTTGTTGTTTTTTGTTTAAACAAAAAAAAGACTATATGGCGTCAGTGAAGAAAGTGCTTCATCAATTTCCTGATTTGGCCACTTTCCGGGTTCTCCAAATCCGTCTCCCAAGAATTTCGAGCTTAAAAATGAATCAATATTACGCGATGCCACCGAGCAGGCCTGCTGTAGCAGCAGCAGGCGGATGAACGGGCCCCGCTGGCTGCCCTGCTGGCCCTCGGCCGCTGTGCGCTGCAACGTCCGCGCGGATTCCTTGGATCGGCGCAGAGCACGCCAGGGGCGGCGCCGGAGGCGCCGCCAGGGGGCTCCAGCGCCGATTCGAGAAACCCGCGCGGACACACGAACGTTTATGTTTATGCCATTCTCGATGAAGGAGAACCCCTCCCTGCCGGCAGAGGTGCCTGGCCAAAAGCGCCTCCTTGCCACGGCGACCGACGACGCGCGGGACCACGCGCTGGGTGGGCGCCGGATCCGTGGCCTCGCGGGCCGGGCCCCTGGGCCGCGAGGGCCGCGCCCTGCGAGCACGAAGATACTTTAACCCCTCGAATCTATTGCGAAGTGTCCCCCCGCGGCAGCCTCTGCTGATAGGGGGCGCGCCGCAGGTGCACCCTCGCCCTCTGCGCTTCACCAGCCTCCCCCTCTCCACTTCTGCTCGTCGTCGTCGTCGTCGCTGTCCTCCTCCTCAATTCCCCCCCCCTCCTCCTCCTCCTCCTCCTCCTCC